TAATTGAATTAGGAATAGTAATGTTGAATGTCATTGATCCTTTATAAAAAAGGTTCATGACACTTAAGCACTTTTGATGATTTATTGGAGAATTAGTTTTTCCACTTTGGGGTTGTAGTTGATTTTGGTATTCTCTTTGGTTAACTTCTATTAAGTTGAGTCTTGCATAAGGACATGCAAGGGCTAAGTGTAGGAGAATTTGATGAATTAGATTTTTCTACAATTTTTGTTCCTCATATTTTGTTCATTAATTAATATGTTGAGTCTTGGGAAGTGAGATGAGTTTGAGAACTTTTATGGGTTGGATTCATTCCTTATGTTTGAACTAGATACATAAATGAAGATGGTATTAGAAAGGGAAGGAGAAGATTTTTGGCACATTTTACAACTGTTTAAACAGTGAAACAACGTTGTTTGTAGACAACTCAACTTTAATAATTGCCACTTAATGTAACATATCACTATTCTGTTACATGTTAAAGTTTAAGGACTAATATGCCTTATGAAAATGAAAGTTAGAGACTAACGTGACATTTTTAAAATTTCAAGAATTAAAATAACCAATGTTTACTATCTCAAAAACCAAAATGAGAATTTAATTGACTTTAACATAAAAATAGAGATAGAATAATCCTTATAAAATTTTGATAATCATATTCTTTTGAGCTAACTTTTAGAAAGGAGTTGACTTTTTTTATAATATGGTATCAAAATCTATCTATAATTTATCTTGAATCTCTGGTCATAAATTTGTAAACGAGAGTAAGAAAAATTAAAGGAACAAAAAAAGGTAAAAGAAGTTTATTGATAAAAATAAAATAGAGATTGTAACTTTAATGAAATAATTGTTGAGTCTACTTTTTATTCAACACCATTACCTATGTCATAGTAGATGTCGCAACGGACGATCGCAACGGTACGACGGATGACAAACTTGTTCCAAAATATCAGAGGAGTCGCCACCAAAGTTTATTTTTAAGAAAAACCTTGGAAAAACTTAAATATAATACGATCTTTGAAACCAAAAAATGAGTTCAGGAGTCATTTACGTGTAGGGAAGGTATTAGCACCCTACAACGTCCGTTTAAAAAACGGTTACCTAAAATTAATTGTACAAAATTATTCTAATTTTGAAAAATATTTATTTAACCCCTAAACATTAATTATTTTATTTTAGAAGAAGAAATATTATTTATTGAAATATTATTCGGGTTATTTTAAAAATTATTTTGACTTGATGGGTACGATTCCCGCTCCTACGTATCCCCGGATGCAATGGGGAACTCAAAGCCACGTAGTTCTATCTAAAAATTATGAAATTAGTTTATTATAATTAAGTTTAGTAAAAGAAAAATTTATTTTAGAATTAAAATCATTTTTCGTAAAATTATAATGTTTAGGATACAAGATAATGCAGTTATACATGTACCCTACGAGAAAACAATACAGAAAGTGAAGGAAGATCACACAACTATACTGTAAATCATTAAAAAATATTTTATTCGTAAATGGAGTATTTGAATTTTAATTTTGATTATGATTAATATTGAAAGAAATTTAAGATAGCGTAAGCTATACATAAACTTCTTATAATTTATTAGACTATCGAAGACAATGTAAATTACACATCGATATTATAAAAATTTATAAAATGAATAAATTATAGTAATTTAATTTATCAAAATTTGAAACATGACTTAAGAAAATAAAAAAAAATTTATTTGAATTGATTAAAGAAGATACTCATTTAATAAAAAACATTAAAAATTTTATTTGATAGATTTATATTATATAAAACCTAAGGTAACGTTGGTACACATAGATTTTGACAATTTATAACGCATAAAGGTAGAGTCGCTACACATTAGTATTATAAATTATTTCTTAATAAAATAATTTAGATTTAAATTAGTTGATTGATTTGTAAATTAGTATTTAGAAGAGAAATACATCTTGCATTATTATTAAAGTGATTAACTAATTAATTAATGACAATATGTGATAAGTTAATATTGCATAAAGTCTTGGTAACGTAGGTACACATAGACTTTATCAATTTATAATACATGACGATAGAGAAGCTATACGTTAGTATTATAAATTGATACAATTATATTATTATTTATTAATTAATTATAAAAAAATAAGTAATTTAGTATTCACAATATAAAATAAAATAATCATAAATATAAAATTAAATCGCATTAATATGATACAAATATACAATAAATAAAATAAAAGATAACAATCCTAAAAAATAAGATATAAATAATGAAATATAAAAAAGGAAATAATTTAAAAAAATCAACTCAAATATGATATTATAAAGTAAACGGTATCAAGAGATTTTAAATAAATAAAATAAAATAAAATAATTTAAACAAAGTTAACATAAAAAAAATAAAAAAAATAATAAAAACTCATTCATTAAATAAATTAATAATTATCATAATAACAAATAATAATGATGATGAATAAATAAATAAAACTAAAACAATAAATTATATGTTGAACTAAATAATGATAAAAATAAAATACATAAAAAAAATTCGGACAAAAAAATAATAAAAAAAATAAAAAAAGGATAAAATAGTCTCAAATTTTAAATTTTCAGATTTGAGAGGGAAGGACTTTAGGGTTAGGGGTGTGCTTTTCTCCAAGAAAAACAAAAAAAAAGTTATGAAAGGGTGGATGTGAGGTTAATGGAGGCCATGGTTTTGAGTGGTGAAGGTTATTGAGAGTAAAAGGAAGAGGAATGAGACAAGGTAGGGAAAGAGTTTTTTTATGGTGAGTTTTGTGTTTGTGGATGATGATAGATGGAGGAATGGGTGGAAAGGTGGTGAGACATGGATATTTGAAATGGTGGTTTAAAATATTTTTTTATCATTTGAGATTGATTTGATATAGGAAATGTTTATTCAAAATATAAATATGTATGATGAAGCTTACTTGATGTTCTTGAAAATTTTTGCTTGCCTCTTGTTCTTCTTCCTTTCCACTAACCTTTCTTTTTCTCTATTTTCTCTTTTTCTCTCCCGTTTTAGAATGCCTCCTCTCAAAATTTTTTTTAGCCTCCTCTGATGTCTCTCCCTGCTCCATGGTCCTTTTTTCCTTTTATTGTTAGGGTTTTCACAAAATGCCCAAAATTCTGAATTTTTCCTTTTTTATGTATAAAGTAACATTGGTTCAAGAATTTAATTATTTGTCATATTCTATTTTCCTTTTAAAAATTAATTCTGAAATTTTCCTATTTTATTAAGACAAATTTTTGTTTTTTTTTTAAACCTTTTGATTCCATTCTTCTTTTGTAATATTAAAATTCAGATTTTTTTATTTTTTATTTTTTCATTTTTTATTTTTATTTTTTTAAAAAAAAAAATTTAAATCAAAATTTTAGTGTTCACAGTAGACAACATAGCAATGATGATTAAGTAATTATTATGATATATGATTGTAATTAACATGATAGTTATAGTGTATTTGATTAGTTAGGAATTTATTCACATTTTTATTGACTATTTGTTGAATTATGCAAAAATTAAATATTATAGTCTTTTGTTTTAAATTTTTAGCAATAGTAATGTTTATAAAAATTATTAGGAATTTATTTTAAATAATTGCTCTATTTTTATCAATGATTTATATATTTAATTCAATGATGTCAAAATAATTTTTGTGAGAATTTATTTGCAAATTATTTTTTTTAAAAATGTTACTTTTTACATCGGTTCTCTCACTGGTATAGAAAGTGGCAAAAAATTTTAAATTATGTTCTCTTTAACATCGTAAACTTTGAAAGAGCATAACTCTTAGCATAGAACTTATATTCATATAATTTATATGTCTATTTCATATAACTTTTCAATATTTGTCTAACCCAAACATCTAAAGGGAGGTTTGAAAAAACATTACAAAAATTTAATGTTTTCTAATTCTTTTATCCAAATCCTTGATGTAGAAACACTACTTTGTACATATGTTATGAGTCAACAAATTTGAATTTTACCTAACTAGTTTCAAAGTTCCGACCAAGACAATGAAAACAAATCTAGTTAAAAATAGAAGTTGTGAGGAGAGATATAAAAGAGGAGTGGCATAAAGGTTGCGAGAAAAAAAAAATGAAATAGGAGAAACAACTATTTACCTATTTATCCTTCGTTAATATGTTATTACCCAAAATATTATCCTTTTAACACCCGATGATAAAACTCAAAATAGTAACTTAGGTTATTAATGTTAATTTTACAATTTTACCCTTTTGTTTTAGGTCTTTTAACATTAGAATCTCTTAATCTTAACTTTTTAACCAATTAATTTTAGCCATTCATTTTATATCTACAAATATTAATAACTCACTGTCAATTTCACTTTGCTTATTGAAAAGCATTATTTTTACTTCTTGCAACAAATTGAAGGAAATTAAAATTACCCATGATAAAACATTTATCATACTAACTTTTACTCTAGTACCAATAGAAAAGCTTTTTACTCCAAGAACAAAAAAAAAAAAAACACTCTTATTCATTTGCTTGGCTAGCTCCTTTTTTATTTTTTTTATATTTATTTTTATATTTTGAATTAAGATTGTCATTCACATTAAATCTAGACTAATCAAGATTAAAAGTTTGACAATAGTCATTTGACAATTTAAAAAATTACGTACATTTTTTTAATCTTGATTTTTAATAAAATTTAACAATTTATTTTTATTAGTCTCATTCTCACAGTAATCAAATGTTCTCTCCCGAGTAAAATGCAAAAGCAAACTCCACCATGAACATGCATTTTTGCACAACTAAAAACTTTACATTAAATTAATTTCAACAAGGCATTGCCATTGCTTATGATGCACTATTTAAATGGAAATGCAGTCAACACATTCTTTTTTACACGCTATTCTTGGGTGAATTTCATGCCATTCACACAAAATAGAGAATGGACCCAAGTCATTTAATAGGAAACTAACTTCATCCAACAACAGTGTTTGAAAGAGTGTATCAAAAAGAATTTACCTTGACATTCAATTTTTTTTTATATTACCATTCAATTTGGAAAATACAAATCCTCTACAAAAAATTACGGGTAAGATACATTAAGGCAAAGAATATAGTATTACAGAAACTTGCACAAATTTGTGTCCTGCAAAATTTACAGCCGAGTTACAAAATATTTTCTGCTGATATATGCTCCTAACAGCTAACAGTTTGGCTAGCTCAAGCAATTACCGCAAAATTTCAGCGGGGAAAGAATGGCTAAAACAATATGAATCGTAAGTTTCACTATCATTGACTATTGGTTTTTCTTTTGTTTGTTGCGGTTTTCCTCGGTAATTGTTTCTAACTCCTTCTCACTAGCTGCAATTAGGCGTTTGACAATGTCATATGTAGTAAGCCTGATGCTGTAGATATAAACAAGAACTGCATCAGGCAAACCAATCACAATACATGGCCATGATTAGCTCAAATTATCATCGCTGTGTATGCTTATTGGCGTGGGGGCAATAGCAATCTCAAATAAACAAATTTTAGATAGAATTTATGTTCCAACAAGCGTATTGGATATCACACGAAAGTAATTAAGTATCATCAAAAGTGGAATTTCACGAGGCCTAGTGAAAATATTGAAAACAAAATAACTACAAATAGATCACACGCACCTGCTATTTGGTAGGTTTTTCAAAGCATTGGGCACAAACCCTCGATACAAACCAATAATTCCATCCCGTGCCACAATACCTGCATTAATGAAATAATTAATTTGGCAATAGCAAAAAACTACTGAACCATTAAAGCTTCGAAATTCCCTGTAATATCATTTTACTAATCGGTCCACTTTATAGTTAAGCAATATGGGCACTTTGGGGTACATTGTAAAATGAGTGCGCTGGGTTTGTTAGTTGATTGGCCGTTTGCCCAGGTAATCATTCTATTGCTGTAATCATTGTATAAAAGGGGTATGTAAGAAATGGTTAGGGCAATTTTTGTAATCAGTAATTGATCAGCTTCAATGGAAGCTTTGAGTGAATTGTGAATACATATAGTTCATATAACACTAACCACCACGTTGATCAGTCATCCGTGAGTGCTAATGTACATGCCCTTGTTACAACTACTTTCCTTAATGAGCACCCATGCACATGCGGTAATGATTTCATCTTAGAATAGTCACAAGACTGGGGTGATTATTTTAAGCTGATAAGACAAACTAATAAATAAATGTGGTTATTACTGATTATTCGGCATATTGGCTCAAAGGAATATTACAACTTCTGCAGCAATAATGAGAATTAATTTTATATATTCGTTACTATCGTGTGCACTATGCTCAAATGTAAGTATGTTGGTGACTAAAACATGCTGGTGCTGAAAGGTAAATCCGAGCAATCCTAACCTGTAATGGCATCTAATACTGTCTTGTAAGGTGTACCCTTCAATTGCATCTGTCTTCGCACTGTGTCCAAAGGATAGCATGTAAGTGTGGCAAGAGATGCGGAGAGAACGGCAGTGATTAGAGATGTTTCAGTTCTCTTTTGATATTTCTCTGGCAATGATTTCTTTAATCTATTTTCCAAAGGTCAGAATATTTCAATTTTAGTGCCTGTCCAAAATCTAATGTTCTTTAAAGACAGAAGATTACCAATGAACTCACAAGTCAAAAACACAAAAGTTCACTGCAATATATGGAGCTATTCCAATCAGAGATGGCCCAAGGCCATAGTAGAAAGATGCAAATCCTTCCTCTCTTAGCATGCTCAAGGCAATCTGGAAAAGCCGCAATATGGATCAATAACAGAGATATCTTGTGAGTTGTGAAAATTCTTAAGCAGGCTACTTTATATATACCTCTGACATTGTTCTATAACCAGGTTCAACAGCTAATCTTAATCTCAGGACATCTAATGGGTATGTTATCTACACAGACATATACAAAGTTAGTTACATACATTGAAATAAGATATGAGAAAAATAAAAATAGATTAAAATATCAAAAAGAAATTGCTCATAGGTTTTAAACACATGGTCTAATCCCCAGAAATGAAACAGAATAACTTTATTAAACAAATTACTTACAAAAGTTGATGTCATGCCAGCAAAAGCACCAGCTGCAAGTCTCCCCACAACAGAGAGCTCGCCATTTTTCCCCTTGAATATTTTCTGCAAATCCGAAGGAGTTATAGACATGAAAATCCAATGTTTGGCATAAGAAATAAGTGAATGACAGTTAACAGTAAACTGTAAACCTTGTAAATTTCATAAGCAAAAAGCTGGACAGCACTATAAGGTATAACCCGAATCACCTGGAACATCAAAAACAGAAACACTAAAACAAATGAAAAGACTAGTCAATGTAATTAGGAGATATACATACTGAAATACAAATAAATTCATTCCTAACTATGAAGACCTGGGGGAGGTTGCCCTTCCAATAACCTTTAATGCCTTCTTCCTTCCCTATTACGGTTATGGCCTGTAAATCATGTCAATGTAAGCTCCAAAAAAAATTTCATAAGTAATGTTCCGATGATCATTCACTAGAGAGCCCAATGCATCTAATATGGGCAAAAGCATGATCATCAAGCAAAGAAATTGCAGAGGCTGTTAACATATGCATATAATATGTAATAAATATATCCTTAATCAGGGGAGGTAATTACGTAAAAAGATTCAACAAAGTTTTACGTTCGTTATCAACTACTACCCTCACCTTTTATCCAGGCTTGGAACAAACTATGTACAGATTTGCAGCAGCGCAATATATAATCAGGTAACTGACATAAGATAACCTTCTATAAGTCAGTTGGAAGTTTTCACACACAGATTTTGACAATTTCCTTTCTACTCAAAGCTACAGCTGAAATTAGTGAAAACACTTCAATAATTTGGGATCTGATTATATGATGCGTTACAAATGCTCATATTTAAATGAGGTCAAGTACTATTGTAGCATAACTAGTACAAGCCTATTTCAGCAAGAATTAATAAGATTTGTAAAACAATAAGAATCCTAATGTATTCCAACAGCAAAAATTATGATGCCGCACTAAAAAGAGGAAACAGCCTAAACAAACTCCACAGATATCAATAATTAACCAAAAACAAACAGATAGATTTTGTTAAGAATTTACAGCACAATCACAAAAATCACACCGTCCCACTTCAAGAAGTGGACTCTCACAAGTTGATAACAAATACAATATTTTATTAACAGTGGTCAATGAGTAAGCCAGCTACTACATATTTTGTTATTTTCACGATTTCCTATACAAATATTTTAAATTTAAAACAAATAAAAAGAGATCGCATTTTTAAAAAATTATAGAAAACCAAATGCGATATGATATTGTTATTATAAAATTCAATACTAGGCATGTTAGCATGTATCTATAGTGACACAATTCAATAGAAAAACCAAAACCATACAACGCAAAAAAAGGAACTTAGGAGATTGAATACCTCAATTAAACCAATCGATTTCTGAACACTTTCTTGTCCAACTCGGACGCCATGAGTCTGCAAATACGCAATGTCGTTTAATGAATACCAAAGATACCAATCTTTGGGACACCGAATATCCGCGCAAAAAGGCGACAACAAAAAAACAAAACGAAAGCGCACCTGCATGAGGAGCTTGATGCGGTCGAGCGGTGCCGTGACGGTTTTCGCAGCGGCGCCGGCGATGGCTCCGGCGAGAAACAAGGCAACATCTTTAGGCACGAATGCGACCACGGCGAGTGGGTGCTTCAAAAGCTGAGTCGCCGTCGGCGTGAATTCCTTGCCGGATTTCCTTTCTGCCACTGACACGCTCGCGAATTTACAGCGGAGGCCACTGTCGGTGGTGAAAATGGGAACGGCGTCGTTTGGGAGCGGTTTGCGGTGGCAGAATGGAACGACGTCGTTGAAGGAGGATTTGAGGTTTGGGATGTTGCGCCACGTCACGATGGCTTTCTCCTCTGTCTCTGTCATGTTGACAATTTGGAACATTGGGAAGTGTCGGAATCAGAAGAAAGAAGGATAAGTTAGTTGCTGCAGAGAGAGGTTTGGAGCCAATTTAATTGCAAGTATGAACGAAAGAAGAAAGATAGAGCAATGATGGACTTTTTTACTATTTCTTTCTGTAATTTCTTTTTTCCATTTTTAGATTTTTTTTCCCTCCCATGTTTTTCGCATTTTCTCATTGTATTTGTGAGAGAGAGTGAATGGGAGTGCACATTATTTATTTATTATTTTTTTATTTTGTAAAATTTGTTCTGTGTTCAGTAAAATTAGTGCACACATTAATTGAAAGTTAAAAAGTTGAAATTGGAAAGATTAAAAGTTGAAAAGCTAATTTATTAAATTAATAATGATAGTAACATTAGTTGGTAAACTGGTTGATAAATACAGAATAATAAATAAGAACAGTATTAATTTTTAGTTTAGCATTTAAGATTTAGTAAATTTATTTTTTTAAATAATTATAAAATTTTATTTTTATTTAATTTTTTATTAAATCAAATGAGGTAATATGAATTAATTTATATTATTATTTTATGATTTTATATTGTAAAAAATAAATTTTAATAATTTATTTATATTTTAATAACAAAATGATTTTGAAAATTTGAACGTGAAAGAAGTATAGATAATTAGGTTTTAAATGTTGAAGTGGCCGTAAAAAATAAATTACTAAAAAATAATAAAAATAAAAATATTATTTAGATGTGACTAAAAAATCGTATTTAAAAAAACAGTAATTAGAATAACATTAAAAAAATATTAACAAATACATATTTATCCTACTAAATAAAATTACTTTTGTTAAACAAATTTTTTAATTATTAAAATAAGAGTTTACTTAACTTAAATGTCTTGTCAAATACCTTTTCTGATATGAGATTTTTTTAACTTGAATTAAGTCTTTTATCTTTTTTGTAATAGTAAATAGGGTCAAAGGACCCAACAACAGAGAAGATCAAGCTATAATTCTAGGATGCCTAAAATCACTAGCACCCAGATTCAAAGGAGAAAAATAGGGGCATAAGATAAACTAGTATAAGAAGCTAGCTCTGTAAATTTAAATTTGACTAAAACATTAGCACATCTATTAGTCTTATAGATATGCCTAATCTTAACAAAATCAATAGACTTAAGATATCCCTAATTCTATTTATGAGAGGCCACAAGGGATGAGAAGGAAGCTGCAAGCGGAGAATAAGACCAACCGCTTCCATGGAATCACTCTCAATCCAAACTGTGTGGATATGCAGAGAAATCATCAGTTGGACACCAAGGAGAAATCTCCAAAGCTCAGCAATGAGAGGAGAGCATAGACTAAGCTTGTTGTAAAACTCAGAAATCAACTACCCTTGATCACCGCAAAGAAGGCCTCCACAGGCAGAGTTTTTTGATCTAGAAATAGCAACTACCCCATCAATGTTCATCTTGAATTGGCCAGCTAGAGGGGGACACCATTTAAAGCATCTAGGGTCAACAACCAATTTTGGAATAGATCTGGAATTAGACATGCAACAATAAGAAAAATAATTAGTCTCATTTAAAACTCTGCAAATAATCTCCCTAGGCTGAGCAGAATTATTTGAAAAAAATGAAAGCTTTCCTGCTAGATCAGAGGAGCCAAACCACATATCCAAAAATACAATTCCAATTTTGAAAATAACTTAGGGATGATTTAGCAAGGTTCAGTCTTAACCACTCAAAAAGGCCCAGGCTGAAAAAAAGGCACCCATTGATTGGAAAAAATTTAAATGTTCCTAGACATCTTGAGTAAAAACACAGTCCCTTAACACATGGATAACAGTCTCAACAGTATCTCTACACCTAGGACAAACTAAGGAGGTAGTCATATTTCTCCTAAACTTCTCCTCATTAGTGAGAAGTCTCCCATGAGCAATTTTCCAAAGCAAAAAGGTAATTTTAGGAGGGCCTTTCCAGTTCCAAACAAAGGTGAAAATGTTATTACCAGTGGAAGGAGTATTAGGGGAGGATGAGAGTAATTGATAAGCAGATTTGATGGAAAATTTTCCATTATTAGTCAAGGACCAGAACACCTTATTAGAACCACTAAAAATAATAGGGGGACTGCCTTGACCTATGACATTACACATGTTAATAGGAAGGCATCCCGAATTTTGGGCCAATCCTAATCACCATTATTAGAAAATAAAATAACAGGGGAATTTAAGTCTAATTCAAAGACAGGGTACGTTAAGTATTAAGCAAGATTACTGACCTCAAGTAGCCACTTGTCTATCCAAAATTTGGCAGACATGCCATCCTTCACATGCCAACCCAGACCTTGAGAAAAGTGAGGCCAAACAAAAGATAAACTTTTCCAAAGATAGGAAGCAGATTGACCAATTTTTAAGCTAGGGGATTGGGCCAGAGTAAATCTGTATTTTTTGCTAAGAATTTAGGCCCACAAAGAGGTCAGGGAAAAAACCAGTCTCCAACAAAGCTTCATCAAGGAAGCCTTATTAAGTAGCACAAGATCCCTAAAGCCTAGCCCTTCTCAGCCTTAGGTTTAAATATCTTCTGCCAGCTAATCAAATTACATTTTTTTCCCACTCAAAGAGCCCCAAATAAACTTTTTATAGAGGCTGTTGATCTCATTGTAGACAGAGAGGGGGATCAAGGTAGTCTGCATGACATATGAGGGAATGCTCATCAGGCTAGATTGGGCCAAAGTCATCCTGCTAGCAAAGGAAAGGGAATTCATCTTCCAAAGAGAGATCTTCTGCCTAATTTTATCTACAAGGAAAGAAAAGTTTCTCCTAAAGAGTTTGGTGTGATGAATGAGAATGCCTAAATAGCTCCTAATCTGACCAGAAATACTAAAGTTTAAACATCAAAGATAGACTGCACAAGGGAGGGGTCAGACTTTTTTGAGAAAACCATGGATGATTTGCTGGAATTAATTTTAAGACTTGAGGCATCCAAAATTCCAAGGACATTCTTAATAACCATAGCCTGATTAACATCAACTTTAGCAACCAGGATGAGGTCATCAATATAAAATAAGTGAGAAACCTTGGGACCTTGGGTACTAAAATTGAAAGGAGTCCAATCACCACTCAAAACTCTATCCTGAATCATGTGAGCTAATCTCTCAATATAGAGAACAAAAATATAAGGAGATAAAGGCTCCCCTTGCCTAAGTCCCCTAGTGGGTTTGAAGGACTTGGTTACACCATTATTCCAATTAATATGCATAGAAGGAGTTGAAATACAGTGAGAGCTAAGACTAACAAGATGAGAAGCAATCCCAATCTGTTGAAGAGCTTCAGTGACAAAGTTCCATCTCAGCCGATCATAAGCTTTCTCTAAATCTATTTTAATAATCATAAAGCTATTCCTACATTTCAAAGTATGAAAATAGTGAATAAGTTCTTGGAGGACTAGAGCATTATCAATTTCATGTCTTCTAGTGATAAAGCTGGACTGATTAGCTGATATGAGATTGAGAAGGGACTCTCTTAACCTATTAGCAATCAATTTAGTAGGAATTTTGTAACTAACATTGCAAAAGGAAATGGGTCTAAAATTTTTAATAGTATTAGGGCTATCAATTTTAGGAATGAGGGTGATTCCTGTTTCATTAACAACTGAGATTTTAGTAAGGTCTCTAAAAATTTCCAGTACAAACTATAAGATGAAGGGAGCCAAAAATTCCTAGTGATTTTGAAAAATAAGGCATGTAAGCCATCTGGGCAAGGGGACTTAAAGTTCTCAATACTAAACAAAAAGGATTTGACCTCTTCATGGGAATGTTGGTAGAGAGCCTAAGCCTATCAGAGTCCAAAAGGAGGGAAAAGAACTAAGGGTTACCAAGCCAGAGGCATTGGGAGAAAGGTCAAAATAAAAGGTCTTGAAAATAGTTAAGGGCCAGGGTTTGGAGTTTAATGGGATCATATTCCAAGTCCCTGAGTCATCTTTCAAGGCTTCAATAGTATTCTTTTGTCTTCTAATCACTGCAGCAGAGTGGAAAAATTTGGTATTCCTATCCCCAAGATTTAGCCACCTAGCTTTATATTGATGGTACCAATAGGATTCCTCCTAGTCAAGGGTGTGGTGGTACTCTTTCCAGAGGGAGATCATTAACTTATTAAGGAAAGGATTGTTCTTATTAAAATTTTTGCACGAAATTCCCTCAATTCTATTTAGGAGACACCTCTTTTTATTGAAAATATTACCAAAGCTAAATTTATTCTAGTCAGAGATGTTAGTTTTGAACCTCTGGACCAGGAGTTTTTAACTTAAGTATGGAAATTAGGGTGTGAAATCCAAGGAGTAAAGAATTTGAAAGGTTTATTATGGATATAGGATATGCTCCTATTCCTGACTTTGAGCCAGAAACCCATATTGTCAGATTTCAGCAAAGGAAGATGAATTACAAAGCTATGCTGAAAACAATTCCTCCAACCCTCATTCACTACAACCCTATCATTCTTTCTTTAATATTGCCTCTGGCTAGGTAAAAAGGCTTCCTTTAAAGCCCAAGTCCTGCAATTCACAGTGAAGAAGACACCAGAGGCTAAAAATGGATTGGCTAAAACTCCTAAGTTTGTCCAATAATCAATCCTAAGACTTTCTTGGGGACTAGCATAAATGGAGGATAAGAACCACTCAACCTAACCATGGCTATAGATTTTCAAGTGGATCATATATTTAGATTTAGAGACAACAGAAACTTTAATTATATTAGGGTTCCAGAGGCACCAAACACTTCCTAAGAAACCCACAACATCTACTTTTTTAACACCTTTGAGGTGGATTTTAGTAAGGATTTTATCAGCTCTATCCATACTAACTCGAGGTTCAAAAATGGCTAGAAGATCTAGATTATACATAGTAATAAGATCATTAGTCAGTATAGCAAAGGTCCTAGCCCTAGCACTCCCACAATTCCAAAAGAGACAATTCATAAGGAGAGGGAGAATATTAGTTAGTATCCCTAGGATACTGAGAGCGGGTCAGGCTTGGAATCCAATTTTCCAAAGTGAATAGAGGAATAATTTTTAGGCAAACTATTTCTCAAATCAATATCCATATCAGGTCCTATCAGGTGGTCTATCAGTGAATTCTAACAGGATCATCAAGGTTTAACCATTGGCTTTTCAGAGTCACCCCCAATAAATCTTGGATGGAGCTACCTTTAACAATATTATTTATAATTTCTTATTGAAAAATATTCATTAGAGAGAAAACTTTTTTATTATTTTGGTCATTAGGGATTGAGTTGTTTTGTTTCATAGAACATGGAGACTGCATATCAACTGTTAAATTCCCATTCCTATCATCTCCCGATTTGTTATGCTTAAATTTGAAATTTGATCCACTACTTTTTTTTGAGTTAAGGGAGGAAGGATTGGAAACTAGAGGGCTTTTAGCTATAGTCTTGGTATTAAGAATTTCATATTTACTTTTTCCTTAGTGTGTAGTAAACTATACTCAACTTCTAAAACATTATGAATAGGGGCCAATTTTTGCCCTTCATCATAAACATGATTACCCAATACCTCAAATTGGGATACTAAGGGGAACTCTCTACCCTTTCCATTATAGGTAGCTGATCCTAGGGTTCTAGGAGTCCCAGGCTTTTTCCTTAGGGGTTTCTTAGCAAGTATCCATAGGCCAAATTTGTCATATTCTTCTAATATCTTAGTCTCATGGGTATTCTGGCTACCTAACCCAGTTTGTCCTATAGATGTAGGGGGTTCCTCGTCATTTACCATCATAGGAGAGCAAGAGTTGGATTCTTAGTTAGGCTTATCTTGGCAACATACTACCTTATCTAAGCAATTTTTTATCCTATGCTCATATTTACCACATTGGAAAAAAAAAATCAAATGCAAACCTTCGTATTCCACTGTAAACTCTTGTCCCAGAACCTTAAATTAAGGAATTAATTTCTTATTTAGGTCTAATTCTATGCAAATTCTAGCAAACTTACCCTTAGATAATAGAGAGATGTGATGATCAATTTAAAGCATTGTCCCTAAGCAGGCCTCAACCTGCCAAAGAATTATACAATTCTAGAGGGAGGTCAAGGATTCTGACCTAAGCTGCTATTTTCCTAAGGTTATACTCATTAGGTTTAGGTCAATGTTATCAATGGCGGATGACGGGTCATGATAAAAACCTAAAAAACTACCATAAAATTATGGTGGCCGTCATGGCAGATTATGGCAGAATTATGGCGACTATAATAAATATATAAAAAATGTTATATATAAGTAATAAAAATTTTATAAAACAAAATTAACTCAAAATACATGTAGCTTCACCGATAATTCAATACAAAATAAACATTTTCAAATTTTTTGTTATGTTATCTCTTTTTTATTTATCTTTTCTTCTGCTATTTTTGTTAGGGTTCCAATTTAAATGTTTACTTTTCTTTTCTTTTCCACAGTTTTCAGAGTTTTATAACACTAAAAAGACTTTTACTTTTTAAAAAAATTTAGATTTTCCTTCTTGCCCTATGTTTTAAGTTTTTTTAAGGGTAAAATAGTCTTATCACACTACTTTCCTATCCCTTTTTTCTTTCTCCACTTCTGTTCGAGGTATCTTCTCTAATATCCATCTCCCTCTCTCTTTTAGTCGGCTGTTTCTGTCTTTGGTTTGGGGTGGCTCCCTTCCCTCGTTTGAAAGACTAGTTGCTGGAAATAAAAGTTGAAGTCACCGGAGATGGAGGACCAGTCGCTGGAAATTGAGGTTGAGGTCGCTGGAGATAGAGAACAGAATGGCGGCCGCAAGTAGAACATATAATAGGTCAAAGAAGAGAGAGATCTGAGACAAGTTCAAATCTACGTAAGAGAAGACAAAGAGAAATCGAAGAAGATGACGATAGAAATAAGTTGGAGACAAATAGAGATGAGAGGGATTAGAGAAGAGAGAGATCTGAGATGAGGGAGTAAAGTTTTGAGTGACGAAAAAGAGAACTTACCTAAGTTTTCTGCACGGGTCACCCTTTGATTGGGTCGAGTTTGGGCCCAAATCACCGAATCCGCTATTTTTTTAGGTTTTCTGCCATGGCCATCGTTATTGCCATACATGTAACGGCCGCCATGTAAAAAGGCCATATAACGGAAGCGGTTTAACAACAGGCTTAAATAAAACTGTTTTATAATCTTCAAGATTTTCAAATTTGACCAGAAAGAAATCGTTATTCAAGTCTAAAACATTAAGATGCCCATTTTCTCCTAAATATTGTTCAGTTTTTGGTTCAAAAAATTAAAACTTATCAACTTACCTAATAACTTGACGATTAGGGTTAGTTTTCACTGATTACACCATAATTCATAGTCCTCCAGGGAGATCTCGAGTTTTGGACATAGGTTTTGAGTCTTAATATCTTCGTCACTTTTATTGAAATCAGTTTCTTCATTTTTCAAAGAAATATTTAGATCCTCCATCACTGATTTAATAATTTCCTCGTCATTCAAAAACAAATCTATTTTATTTGCAGATAGGACTTTATCCTTGTAAAACATGCATCTAGGAGATTTAGGTATAGAATACACCTCATTCGTAGGGCTCACAATGACACTATCTTCTTGAATACAAGAGATTTGGTCCTCTAAACTTGATTCCAGGTCCATTTGACTTTCTTTGTACTGCGTACCATCAAGTTGATCTCCTTGGTAGATCATTTTTTTGGATTTGGTTGGTCCATAGCTATGTCATGATATGGCAAGACCCTTCATTTGCAAGACTTCCAGCACTTCAGCGCCGCAAGAGAGTTTAAGATTAAGGAAACCCTAGTGGCACACAACTCTCTTCTCTCTCCACGAACAAAGAAACTGAATCTTGGAGAGGCCCACTTCGCAGTTGACCTTTTACAAGTGTTGTCTTTTAATTTTTTTAATTGTTATGATTAAATTTTTCTTAATATTCTTTACATTCAATTAAAGTTTTTTTAAATAATTAAAGATTTAGGATAAATTTAAAATGTAAATTATTTCTAAAATTATGTAAATATGTAACTTAATATTAGCTATTAATATTTTTATTCTCATTTTTACTCTTCTTTTCTTAAAAGAAAAATACTTGTTATTCACACAATTAAAATTTACATTAATTTTATTCCATTTTTTTGTTACATATTTGTTCTCTTACATTCATTGTAGTTGAAATATCTTATATTTAAATATATTTTATAGTAAAATACATTCATTATATTGATATTTACTATTAAATTGTTGATTTTTTAAATAATTAACTTTACATTTTCTAAGTCGTAAATCTTTAAAGGATAATGATTCAGTGCATTTTCATTCTTACTCAATTATATCTAATTTCAATATTATATTAATATAAAATTACATGTTCTTTTAAGTCTTTTTTAATATAAATCAATTAATTGTATAAATAATTTGTCAAACAATTTTAATTTAATAAGTTACTTATACAACTATAAATTTTTATTTACAAGTTTACGTTGTTCAGCTAGCTTCACAGCTACAAACTATAAAGTTACAACTTTTAATTTATTTTATCAAATAAATATAAGTTAACAAAATAATTTTTTTAGCCACTAAGTTTATTACAAACTAAATTCTAACATAATTTTTTTAGAAATTAATTATAAATATAATCTTTATTAAGAACCAACAACTTATTTTAACTTTTTTTCATCTATTTTAATAAATAGTATGTGTCATTTTGTGCAATGCATGAATATTATTAAATTTAATAATTTTTAAAAAATATATTTTTAAATTATTTAAATTTTATAAATTAAAAGATGTTTTAATTATTAATAATAAATATTCTATTATATTAAATAAAAATAAATTAAAAAGATAAAAATATTAAATTAAATAATAAATTTTAATTATAAAATTTAAATTAGGATTAAATCTAAAAAATATTCAATACTTGAAAAGTCACATGAGTCAGTGATACCTTATTTTTAATAATGTTAATTTTTTTGCTAAAAATATTTTTAAAGAATCAAAATACTATATTAATTATTTTTATATTCAAACAAGACAGATTACTTTAAACCACTTAGACATGTGATAGTCAAACTATTAACAAATGAATGAATAAATGAATGCTTGTCTTAAAATTCTACTATACATTTAGGTCATTTGTTTGGGGCAATTTTTCGTGACTCATGAATTTCACGTTTGATATATAACCTTGCATCACAAGTCTTCTTTTAAGGGGGGGTTCTGGTTTGTTGTTTGAGGTTTACAAATAAAAAAACAATGATATTATTAGCTGTATGTGACACATACAAACCAATCTTAGTGAAAGTAAATGGTTAGTTTTTCTTCCCTTATATTTTTCTTATTTCGCAATTGGTTTGTGGACTTTCAATTTTTGTTTTATTTAAAAGAAAAATTTAGATTTCATTTAATCATAAAGTTGTGAAGTGTATCATTATCGTTATTTTTCTTTAGAGATAAAATAGAGGTATTTGAATGAGTGTAATCTTTAGAACAAGAAAATGGTGTATAAGATTAACTCACGCATACATTGAGAAAGAAAGAGAGGGAGCAAGAAAGAAGGAGATGATTCTGGTATTGTTGACGACGTGATGGATGAACACTCATCGCTAACTAGCAATAGCTGAGTGATGATGAAGTTTGCGATGAATGTTAAGAAAGAATAAAGAGGGTGAGGGGAAGAGAGAGAAAAGAGACAAAGAGCATGGTTCCAAAGGGGATGAAAGTTGGTCCATGCAAGTTCTTAGAGTTTTTCTTTTCTCATCCTCTCTTCCTCTCTTTTTTTATATTTTTCAAGCTATTCTTATATTTTGTTTCAACTTATTCTTATATTTTGGAGTTACAAACTAGGACATTATAATTCTATTATTAATTGTACTTGAAATGTTATAAGTGGGTATTAAAAAATAAAGCTTGATAGTAAATGCAAAATGACAAACACAAATGAGAATAAAATTTATGTATTAACTAGTTTAGTATAGAAGAGAAAGTTACTTAGTATGGTTTAAATTTTTTTTAATTCATTTACCTTCGTTTTATTTTTTTTTTCCTCAATTTTTTCCTTTACTTGAAGTTTTGATCTCTTCTCCAGTCTTCTTCCAATCTCCTCTCTTTTTTTATTATGTTTCCAAACTCATTTTTTAAAGTTAGATGCAACTTGTCTTATTTGTTAATAACAATTTTGCTTTTGGAGAAAATAATATTTGTTTTTATCTCTTTTAGCATAAACAAAATTTGTTTCTATTTCTACTAACAAAAACAAAAATTAGATAAGTTAAAACTAAATATTATATTCAAATTCGTAAAAGATAAATCATTAGCAACTTTAAGAACTTCGACAATCTATGCCTTTAACATTGGACAAAAAATTATTGTAGAGCTTGATATCAATGGGACATTATTATACTAAATAAAACTCACAAACTACACATAATGGAAGAGGAAATATCTTTCTTTAATATTCATACACTAAAAAACTTGATCCAAATGCACAATATATAGATGTTCAAAATAGATAAATTTCATACTATAAAATATTATACTTAATATTCTAAGAAAAGTCTAGTAGAGGCAGCACAAGAAAACTTTAGCTATATCTTGATTTACTTAGTTGTAATCTTTGGCATTTCAAATCTTCTACACACATCAAGAAGACAATGCAGTAAACTTTTACCATCATGAGGTGATGCAGTAACAATAATAATAACTACTAGCTTGATTTATTTAACTACATTGACTCTCTTAAATTAAGTTGGTATCGTTCAAGTATTCAATGTGTAAAATATCTCAACCTTCAACAATTTTATGAAAATATCTACAATTTAATTTTCAGTGGGACAATGCTTTATTACAACTTCGTTCTCAACTACTAGCTCTTGTATCTTGTGAAAATGAATATCTATATGCTTGGATCATCCTTGAAAAATTGAATTTATACAAAGTGAAATTACATACTTGTTATCACAAAATATTATTATGAAAGTATTTTTCATCTGAAGCATCACTTCAAGCATTCTTCTCATCGATATTGCTTGTGTAGAACATTTTCTTACAACTAAATATTTTACCTTGACTGTTAAGAGTGCAATTGTTGCTTGTTACTTCAAGGACCATGATATTGCTCAAATGTCCAAATGAAACATATACTCTAAAGTTCTTTTTCTTATCTCTATATCTTCTACTCAATCACTATTTGTGTATTCGACAAGCTTCACATCATTACCATTATTATAGAACAAATCATTCAGTGAGAGCACTTTTGGTGTATCTAAAAATTCTCTTAGCTCATTGAAAATGACAAACACATAGCTCTTCTATGAATCTGCTAAGTAATTCAACTTCAAACATAATGTTTGGTATAATGGCAGTTAAATATCCAAGACTTCCAATTAAGCTCTTGTACTAGATTGAATTAACTTTTCTTTCATCACCTTATCTTACCAGCTTTAACTTTTCTTCAGCTGGGATAAAGATTGGCTTTGAACTTTCTATTTTAAATTTCTTCAATCTATTTGTTACATACTCTTCTTAGAAATGAAGATTCCATCATTTTGTTGATAGAATTCAATGCCCTAAAAATAGGATATAAAACCCAAATTTGTCATCTCAAAACATCTAACCTTAGTCTTCTTGAATTTTGCAATAATATTTGGATTATTATTAATTAAGATTAAATCATTAACATAAAGGAACACAATATTAATGTCATCATAATCAACAACTTTAATGTATAGAATATGCTCAAATGGACATTTTTTGAAATCCATGCTGCATGAAATAAGAATCAATGTTATTGCACATACTCTTGGTGTTTACTTCAAGCCATATAAAGCTTTCTTTAACCTATAAACTTGATCGTCTTTTCCTTTAATCACATAACTATAAGCTACTAAACATACACTTCTTCCAAAATCCCATTTAAGAAGGCAAGTTTAGCATCAATTTGATAATTTTTCCAACTATTTTGAGTCGAGATAGATAAAATCATGCAAATTTTATCTAATCTTGCAAAAAAAATATATATATCTCAAAATAATCAATACCTGACTTCTACTCGTACCCTTTTAATAATCAATTTCATCATTGATTTGTACTTTGTTTTGTACACTCATTTAACTCCAATCGACTTCTTATTTACTAAAAAATCTATCAGTTCCCATATTTCATTCTTCTCAATTGCATGAATCTCAACATTTATGGCTTTTCTCCAATTTTAATCATTTGCAGCTTCTTTAAAACCATTGGCTCATAGTCTAAAAATAAAGCAAAATTCATTATTTCTTCATCAGATGCATATTATTATTATTATTATCCACAACATGATTCTCTAATCTAATTGGTAATCTTTGTTGCCTCTATGTTCTGCTTGATGTTTCTGGTTTATTAAATATTGGGTTTATAGGTCCATTTTGCTTAATATAGTCATTTGAAATCACATTTTATTGCTTTTTGCTTTTCAGAGACTAGTCCCAAGTATTGAGTCTATAGGTCCATTTATGTAGTAGCCAATGAACACACATTTTTCTCCTTTATCATTGAGCTTCTTCTTTGGGGCATATGTTATACACCTAAAAACTTTGAGGTGTTGAATAGAAGGCTTCTTTTTGCTCTAGGCTACTTCTAGTATTTTGTCACAAACGCTCTTTGTTAGACTCCAATTAAAGATATACACGACAGTAAAACTTTAGCTTAAAATTCTTTAGGTATTTGTTTTTCCTTTAGCATACTGATCGAGATTGTACTCAATCAAATAATACAACTTAGAGTGGTAAGGGTTGAATTAACCCAAAGTAATTTCTCAAAGAATTCGATTACAAATTCAGAATTTTAAGATCAACAACAAGGGAGATTGGTTGTGGTTTTTAGAGTTCTTAGTATTAGAAACAAGAATTCAAAATTTAGAAAAGTAATTCAACAAAGCAAATCAATCCCTAACTATTCCACAATTGATTCAATCATTAGTTAACAAATGAACAGATCCTAAATCCTTTAACAGATTCGAATTAACAGATCAAGCATCAATTAATTCTTGAACATCACATACAAGACTAAGCAACTTATATGAATCCTAATCTCTTATTCTTAGAATTAACCAAATTTTGAATCTAATTCAGAATTAAGCAAAATGAATTATGAATCCTTTGTTAAGAATAAATTATGAATTGAATTAAGCAAACAATTCATTTTCATATCAAAACTAAGGTTTCAAAAAATTAAGGAAGGTAAAACCTATGCAAAGAAAGAATTTGAATTATTAATGCATAAAAAATTCAAGAATCAATGTAAATTGCACCAGAAATCATCCTTAATCTTCAGCCTTCCATGAGAATGAAATCCAAAATTACAAAGACAACATAATGAAAATTCAAAGAAAATTGAAGAAAGATTAAAAGAATTGAAAATCCTAGGATTAAGTCTTGAAAATCACTCCTAAAACTCTCTTTATCCCTCCAAGAGTGTGAAAAAGAAAAATGAAAAAAAGCCCCTTAAAAGTAGCCATGCGCAGCATGATTTCATAAGTAAGCTTGCGTGTGGTCACTTTTGGTCCTGAAAGTAGTTACCCGCAACTTCTCCTCTAGCAAAACTTCTCTGGAACACTCACTTTTGGCGGTGAAAGTGACCACACTCAATGTAATTTCCACATATAAGCTTGCGTGGGATTACTCTTGGTGGGAAAAGTGATCACACGCATGGCTTTATACAAAACATCCTCACTGGAAAGTCCACTTTTGGTCCCGAGTGTAACGCCCCAAATTTTGTAATATTAATTATTGATAATTATATAAATCTAAATGTATATTCATGTGTGTATTTTTTTAAATATATGTTGTGAATATGTATGTGTATATATCTGTGTGTGTGTGTGTGTGTATGCATGACTAGTTGGGCTGAAATGGCTAAGTGCCTAAGTACAGGGCGAGATACTGGGCTATTCTCGCTGCAGGGAGAGGGCCCTGGGAGGAAGGACTGAAACTGTCACTTTCTCGCTATAGCGAGAGACGTCTTGCTGTAGCAAGAGAGAGACAGTTTGGGGTGCATTTCTAGGTGCAATCTTGCTGTAGCGAGATTCCGCAAAAACCATAGTGCAGTTTTCTCTGATTTTTTTGCTGTAGCGAGAAGGCGTGTCACTGCAGCGAGAATATCTCGCTGTAACGAGAGTGTCGCGATCAGAAATGGATTTAAAGGGGGTTAGGGTTCGGGGAGAGTTATTTCTCCCTCTCCCTTCGAAATTCATTTGATCCTCTCATTCCTAAAGCCCTATTCCACCGATTAATTGCCTACAAAGCCGTTCAGAAGTAAGATTGGAGCTCAGATTTGTGTGGAGAATGCTTGGAGGTGAGTTTTAAACGGTTAGGGTTTTCGTTTTCCTTCCCTTTCTCTGTTCTTGGTGATTTTTGGGATTCTCAGGGAATTCTTCCATCTGTTTAGGCCGAAAGTCGTGTGGGGAGCATTTTCGTAGTTGAGTTCAGATGTGGATCTTCAATCCAAGGTAAGGGGGGACTCTACCCTACTCCTTTATGTGCGATTTGCTGATATTTTGTGTGATATTGTGATGTGGCTGAGTAGAGGGTAGGAAATTGCTGAGATATGTGATGTGGGCACTTGTGTTGTTTATACATATGTGTATATCTGAATGAACATTGTGAAAATGTGGGCCCGAGGGCCGTGTGGCATGAATGAATTGTGGGCTATGTGCTGTGTGTGCTGTGAAAATGAAATGAGGGCCTAGTGCCGTATAGTGGAACAAATATGGGCCTAGTGTCGTGTACTGTTAAATGTGAGCTATGTGTCGTATATTGAAATGTGTGTGACTGGGGCGTAGTAGTGCCTCTGTAATGTGCTATGAATGATTCAGCGATATACTAGAGATGTGGTAGATGAGGACGGTAGAAATACCTTGGGGAAGAGTGAGTAGTGGTGACACTGACTGCGGAATGGGTGCACCACGGGCCACACACTCTCTTCCTGACTAGACCTCTGACTGCTATCTTTGCTGAGCGACCCGCGACTGCTCACGTGGTATCCGTGAGGCGGGGGTAACCGGCGACCATTCATGGTATAAATCTATGATCACAGTACTATATTGAGTGTGACTGGTATGCGTTTGCATGGATTTGTGTTTTGTACTTATGGATGTGAAATGTTGTTATAATTGTGTTTGTTTAATGTATTGGAATGTTCTAGAGGTAAGACTCTACTTTTATTGTGTGTTTTGGGTAGTGTAGAGTACCCTTACATTCATTTTTCAGGTAATCAAGACGATCAGCACCGGACTCAGTGAAGGGGTGGATGAAACTATTATAGGACTTAGAATATTATTTTGAAAAACTGTTGTATGACAATAAGTCCTATAACAACTGTTTGATATAATTTGTAACCCCTTTCTTTATTTGAAATGGTTGATGAAACTTGAATTAAAATGAAAATTTTATTATTTCAAAAATTTGCGAAATTTCTTATTTATTGGAAAATTAAATTTAAGGTGTTACAATTTTGGTATCAGAGCAGTTCATCCAAACTGAACTGGGTATCAGGCTGAAGCATCCAAGATAAGTGTTGATTGTTTTGTTTGCCTGAATTATAAATGTATTGTTGATTTGATATGCTGGACTGTGACTGTTAAATTGTGTAGCTTAGATATGTCTTGTAGAAGTAGAGGTAGAGGAGCTAGAGGCACCAATGACCTCATAGAATGCATGGCTCAGATTCTGGAAGCCATAGTGCATAATCAAGGCGGAGAGTCAGCTGAGTATAGAGGGTTATCTACCTTCACTAGGCATGATCCTCCAAAGTTTGAGGGTGGATTCAACCCCAAAGGAGCCCAGAGGTGGGTGGCTGATGTGGAAAAGATCTTCAATGCAATGGGGTGCCGTGAGGAGAACAAGATTGCCTATGCCACTTATTTGCTGTGTGGGGAGGCTAAGGACTGGTGGAGGTTTGCCAGTCAGACCTTGCCACAAGAAGATGGCTATGTTCAGTGGGAAGCATTCAAGACCATCTTCTTGGGAAACTACTTTCCCCGAGACCTAAAGAAGCAAAAAGCTAGGGAGTTCCTTGAGTTGAAGCAGGGAAACATGACTGTGGGGGAGTATGCGGCTAAGTTCCAAGAGCTGATGAAGTACTGGCCTCATTATCAGCATGGTGATGGAGAGGAGGATCTGTATGCTCAGTTTGAGCATGGATTGAGGCCAGACATCCGGGCTGCAATCAGTGTGTTTCAACTAACAGACTTGCCCACTCTGGTGAGCAAGAGCAGGATCTTTGAAGCCAACTCGAGGGGGAAGACAGTGGACACTAGGGGAGCCGGCCCAGTAAGGCAAGATAGAAGACCCCCTAGGTTCTCAAGGGAACCGTACTCGGGTTCGAACAGCTCTCAGTCTCGAGGGAGTTCATCTCAGGAGAAGAGTAGTGGGAGTGGTTCAGGATCAAGTTCTTTTAGAAGGTCGCTCAAGTGCTTTAGGTGTGGAGGGCCATACATGATAAAGGACTACCACAGCCGAGGATAACTTGTAGCAACTATGGGAAGTTGGGGCATGTTGCCAATGAGTGATGGGCCGCCAAGAGGGGAGGCAGTACAAGTACAGCTGAGAGGCCAGAATCAAGAGGAAGTACGGGGCCGAGTACGGGACAAAAGCTGAGCATTCTTAGTAAATTCTTTGCTATGAGTGGGGCAGAGGTTTCACAGTCAGAAGAGTTGATCCAAGGTAAATGCATTATTAAGGGTCGATTGCTTGATGTGCTGTTTGATTCGGGTGCTACGTACTCCTTTAAATCTGTGGACTGTGTGAAGAATCTGAATTTGTATGTGACTGAATTGTCGGGCAATATTGTGGTGACTACCCCTACGAGTAAGCCGGTTGTGACGTCATGAGTGTGTTTGGGGTGTGCAATGATGGTACACGATAGGGAGTTTGAGGTGGACTTGATTTGTTTACCTCTTTCTCAATTGTATGTTATTCTGGGAATGGATTGGCTTGCTGCCAACCATGTGCTGCTAGACTGTAGGGAGAAGACTTTGATCTTCGGTGCGACAATGGCAAAGGTTCCAAGGCTTATGAGCCAGGGAGCGTAAGAGAACACAGTAAACACCAAGGCTTTCATGGTTATGTTCTCAATGGAAACCAAAAGTGTGGTGGAGCTGGAGTATATTCCGGTGGTGAGGAATTTCTTGGAGGTTTTTCCCGAAGATGTTTCTGAGCTACCGCCTGAGAGGGAGATAGAGTTTGCTATTGACCTTATTCCGGGAGCAAGTCTGATTTTTGTGGCACTTTACCGGATGTCACTAGTGGAGTTGGCAGAGGTCAAGAAGCAAGTAGAGAATTTGTTGCAGAAACGGTTTGTGAGACCGAGTGTGTTACCGTGGGGAGCACCAGTGCTCTTGGTGAAGAAGAAAGATAGAAGCATGAGGATGTGTGTAGATTATCAGTAGCTGAATAAGGTGATAGTCAAGAATAAGTACCCACTTCCGAGGATCAACGATTTGACAGACCAACTGAGGGGAGCAGCAGTGTTCTCAAAGATTGACCTGAGGTCAGGGTATCACCAAATTCGAGTGAAGGATGCAGATGTGCCTGAGACGGCATTCAGGACGCGGTATGGTCACTATAAGTATTTGGTGATGCTGTTTGGGGTGACCAATGCGGCTGCGGTGTTCATGGACTACATGAATAGGATCTTCCATAAGTTTTTAGATAAGTTTGTGGTAGTGTTCATTGACGACATCCTCATTTATTCAAAGACTGAGGAAGAGCATGTCGAGCACTTGAAGATTGTCTTGCAAATTCTGAGAGAGAGACAATTGTATGTGACATTCTTCAAGTGTGAGTTCTGGTTGTCGGAGATCCAATTTCTATGACATGTAGTGTCAAAGGAAGGAATCATGGTAGACCCTGCAAAAGTGGAAGTAGTGGTCGAGTGGCCGAGGCCGACGAATGCGACAGAAGTGCGCAATTTTCTTGGATTGACAGGCTATTATAGGAAATTCATTGAAGGATTTTCTAAAATAGCGTTGCCCTTAATGAAGCTGACCCGCAAGGGAAAGGAGTTCAAGTGGACCAAGAGGTATGAAGCTAGTTTCTTAGAGCTGAAGATAAGGCTAACTTCGGCGCCGGTGTTGGCTCTGCCCAACCCAGAGCGAAAATTTGATGTGTATTGTGATGCATTCGGGCAAGGACTTGGTTGTGTTTTGATGCAAGACGCGCAAGTGGTCGCCTATGTCTCGAGACAGTTGCGCCCGCATGAAGTCAACTATCCGACACATAATCTGGAGTTAGCCGCGGTGGTTTTTGCTCTTAAGGTATGGAGGCCTTACCTATATGGAGTGAGGTTTGAGGTGTTCAGTGACCACAAAAGCTTGAAGTATCTGTTTGATAAGAAGGAATTGAATATGCGGCAGAGGAGGTGGATGGAATTCCTCAAGGACTATGATTTTACATTGTCTTACCACCTTGGCAAGGCAAATGTGGTAACCGATACGTTGAGCCGGAAATCATTGCACGTGGCAGCAATGATGGTGAAAGAAATGGAGTTAATTGAGGAATTTTGGGACATAAATTTGGCCATGGAGGTGAGGCCAGGGAGTTTATATCTCGGAGCGACGACGATTCACAACAACTTCCTGGTGTACATCCAAGATGCTCAGCAGGGAGATGCTTTCCTGCAAGACATGATGAGACAGAAGAGTGAAGGAAAGGACTTAGATTTCCACCATGATGAAAACAAAGTGATTAAGTTCAGGAACCGAGTGTGCATTCCTCAAGTGGATAAGCTGAGGCAGATGCTGCTTGAGGAAGCGCATAAGAGCAGGATGAGTTTTCACCTCGATGCAACTAAAATGTATCAGAATCTCCGGAAAAGCTTTTGGTGGATTGGTATGAAGAGAGATGTGGCTGAATATGTGGCTAGATGCCTAACTTGCCAGAAGCCGAAGGTAGAACACCAGCATCCACCTGGGTTGTTACAGCCGCTAGAGATCCCTGAATGGAAATAGGATAGTATATCCATGGACTTTGTTTCTGGATTGCCTAAGACCAGGAACAACCATGACGCCATCTGGGTGATAGCGGATCAGTTAACCAAGGCTGCACACTTTTTCCCAATCAACATGAAGTATAAGTTGGAAAAACTTGCAGAGTTATATGTGCAGGAGATAGTTAGGCTGCATCGAGTGCCGATTAGTGTGGTGTCAGATAGAGATTCGAGGTTTACCTCGAAGTTTTGGGAGAGCCTGCAACGGGCGTTGGGGACTAAGTTAAGGCTGAGCTCGGCTTATCACCCACAAACTGACGGTCAGACTGAGCGGACCATCCAATCTCTAAAGGACTTGTTGAGGGCTTGTGTGTTCGAGCAGCAGGGAACTTGGGGAGAGTGCTTGTCGCTAGTGGAATTCATGTACAACAACAGTTACCATGCCAGTATTGGACAGTTTGGGGTGCATTTCTAGGTGCAGTCTCGCTGTAGCGAGAGGGTCTCGCTGTAGCGAGATTGTGTAGAAACCAGAGTGCAGTTTTCTCTGGTTTTTTCGCTGTAGCGAGAGGGCGTGTCGCTGCAGCGAGAATATCTCGCTGTAGCGAGAGTTTCACGACCAGAAAATGATTTAAAGGGGGTTAGGGTTCGGGGAGAGTTATTTCTCCCTCTCCCTTCGAAATTCATTTGATCCACTCATTCCCAAAGCCCTATTCCATCGATTAATTACCTCCAAAGTCATTCAGAAGCGAGATTGGGGATCGAATTTGTGTGGAAAACGCTTGGAGGTGAGTTTTTTCCTTCCTTTTCTCTGTTCTTGGTGATTTACGGGGTTCTTATGGAATTCTTCCATGTGTTTAGGCCAAAAGTTGTGTGGGGAGCATTTCAGTAGTTGAGTTCGGACGTGGGTCTTCAATCCAAGGTAAGGGGGGACTCTACCCTACTCCTTTATGTGCGATTTGCTGATATTTTGTGTGATATTGTGATGTGGCTGAGTAGAGGGTAGGAAATTGCTGAGATATGTGATGTGGGCACTTGTGTTTTTTATACATGTGTGTATATCTGAACAAACATTGTGAAAATGTGGGCCCGAGGGTCGTGTAATATGAATGGAAATAGGCTAGGGGTCGTGTGGCATGAATGAATTGTGGGCTATGTGCTGTGTGTGCTGTGAAAATGAAATGTGGGCCTCATGCCATATAGTGGAACAAATATGGGCCTAGTGTCGTGTACTGTTAAATGTGCGCTATGTGCCGTATATTGAAATGTGTGTGACTGGGGCGTAGTAGCACCGCTGTAATGTGCTATGAATGGTTCAGCGATACACTGGGAATGTGGGAGATGAGGACGGTAGAAATACCTTGGGAAAGAGGGAGTGGTGGTGACACTGACTGCGGAATGGGTGCACTACGGGCTACACACTCTTTTCCTGACTAGACCTTTGACCTCTATCTTTGCTGAGCGACCCGTGACTGCCCACGTGATATCCGTGAGGCGGGGGTAACCGGCGACTATTCATGGTGTAAATCTGTGATCACAGTACTATAGTGAGTGTGGCTGGTATGCGTATGCATGGATTTGTGTTTTGTACTTATGGATGTGAAATGTTGCTTGTAGTTGTGTTTTTTTAATGTATTGGAATGTTCTGGAGGTGAGACTCTACGTTTATTGTGTGTTTGGGTAGTGTAGTATACTCACCCTTACATTCATTTTTCAGGTAATCAAGACGATCAACACCGAGCTCAGTGAATGGGTGGATGGAACTGCTGTAGGACTTAGAATATTATTTTGGAAAACTGTTGTATTAGAATAAGTCTTGTAGCAACTGTTTGATATAATTTGTATTCCCTTTCTTTATTTGAAATGGTTGATGAAACTTGAATTAAAATGAAAATTTTATTATTTCAAAAATTTGTGAAATTTCTTATTTATTGAAAAATTAAATTTAAGGTGTTACACCGAGAGTGACCATGCACAACTTAGTCTCTAAAACAAGCTTGCGCATAATCACTTTTGAAGAGGGAGAGTGATTATGCGCATCAACATTTCTCCTATAGACAAGAGTGACCATGCCCACCCAGAAAGCCTTCAAGGTGATTACTTTCACCTTGTAAAATGATCATGCGTAAGCCTAAGGAGGAATTCATTGCTGGAACAATCACTTTTGGTCCTAAAAGTGACTATGCTCAATCTCAATTGACCTTTTAACCAAAGAGCTCACTTTCTACATCAAAAGTAATTACTATCTATTAGCAAATTAGAACTAACTTTAAATGCTCACAACTTCTAAGTTTGAAATCCAAAATTCTCAAATAATATATCAAATTAAAGCTCTATGAATCAACTATATATAGAAATATGAATCTCCTCACAAACTTGACCTTAGGAATATATATTACAAGAATAATGAACAAAGTTAAGAAAAGTCAAAAAAATGAAATTAAGGAGATTTTTCTAATAAAGCCCAATCAAAGAAGTTTGAATTAAAATAGCTAAAATTAATCAATTAATAACAATTAAAAGCTTATTGACTCACAGAAAA